AAAATTCAAAAGTGACTGAGCTATTCATAAGCTCTTTTTCCGTGGAATAAATGATTGAAAATCGTATTTTCCTTTCATTATATTTGCATAAATAAATAAAATACAGGCAGCCGAGTATTCAATTACATGCGGCAAAACAAATGGCCAATCGCAAATCTTCTGGTAAAGCCTGTCTCCCCTGTTTGTACGCATATTTCATGGACAGCAAAAAAATGGGTTCCTCTCGCTTTTTATTTTTCATGCGGAGTGCGAGTGTCCAAAACACCCGCGTTATTTATTCAAAACATTCGTGTGTGGCTGTGAATTCCAGCGTGTGCCCTTTGTCCTTAAAACAATCCCGACTTAACTGCATTTATTATGAGACGCACTAAGTCCCCAACGACTGAGAGATAAGATTCTGCTCCTGCCGCCTGTTTTCGGTTCGATTCCCACTCGCTTGGCAACGTGAACCGACTGTTTGCGATGCGATAATAATTCTGCCACTGGGTTAGGATAGTTATGGAGTGGGGATGGGTATGGGTAGGTCCCCACTTTCCCCACGGATTTTGATTTCGGGTACCGAGTGCGACGCATTTTAAGTGGCGTGTGTCCGCAGCTGAACTACTGATAAATTGCATTGATTTATCAAACGCACTCATCAGCATGTAGTCACAAATATAACAACTAAGTATTGGAGGTAAAGGTTTATAAGCGACTAAAGGTTATCCTGGAAATGTGGCTTATTTATTATTTTAATCCAAGTTACTCCGAATCATCTACTGATTTTTGGAATATCTTAGTATATTGTGCTGAATAAATAAATTATAATGGTGTCTAAAAGAAGCCAATTCAAAATTCTAAGCGAATACATCGAATAATCGGACTTAAAAGTTGAGGCAAGGTATTTTTAATTTTTATAATAATTACTGAGCTATTTAAAAAATATAATATTTCAAAAAGAATAAAATTCTTATAAAAAATAGTTTTAAGAGGTTACCACAAGGGGATTTAAAATATTTCAGAAATATTTCATATAAGTTGTCTTTCTATTAAAATGTCCATTAATCATATATTATTAATACTCTAAAAAGATGCCTTTTTGAACCCACTTTACAGGGCAGACAGCCAGGGGAACCACTCGTTGGGAGTCCATAAACATTTGACATCCAGATGGTCGCCAGATAAGCGGACCTCTGCCGGCCATTGGCTGTCATAAATCACGACACTTCGCTGTGAAGTTGTTTTTTGTTGTTCTCTGTGCGGGTGGAGCGATGTAAGCCAGTTATTGATATAGGCTAACAGGTTTATTTGTCGGTCTAATGGCGGCGATCCCAAAAATAGATCAATTTTCGTTAGAGCCATGAATTTATTATGGCGTCGAATTAGATGTTATGCGTTGTACTTTAAAGGGAATAATTTATCACGTGGCCTAGTCAGTGCCAAAATTCAATTAGCTAAGTGTTGTACAAATAAACCTGACCGCATCCCAGAGACCTTTTCCCTCTGCCGCCCACTTGTGTTAACATTCAGTTAACAAATTAATTACGCCGAGCGGCAAACAATGCGGACAAACAATGTTGACATTTTAACAGGCTCATCAGCCAGTTCAGCCAGCCATTTTTCAGTTGCAAAATATTTCAACGATTTTCTGCTTTCGCTCGGAATTACTTAATTAATGTTCCTTTGTTCTCTAACTTCATTTACATTTTGGGTATTTGCAAGTTTCGCCAGCTGATTTTTTGGACCGCCACGGGAAGCCATTCAAGAAGGTCAACAATGGGGAACTTAATTCAATTCGAGTTACTCGAAGTGCAAGAACTTCTGTGAAGTCTTACAAAATAACGAGCTGCAAATATAAAGTGGGTATTGATTAAGGGCTGAGAAGTTCTTATAAATCAAAGGAGACGAAAACGTTTTCATTACAAAATCAATTTGTCAAATTAATAATTGTAATAAACAAAAAGTAATTAAATGTATAAAAATGTATAATTTACATATTTTAGTTTAATACATTTATGTTTGAAAATCGAGTGAATTTTTATACACTATCAAGTGGAATAATATTAATATACTTAATATCACTCGTACGCCACCTGTACCAAAAGCAGGAAATTTATTGTACATCAATGGGTATTTAATAAAATCATGAATGGGTTTTCAATAAAAAAAATCAATCTGATAAATTTACAATTAATTGGAAAGTAATTATACCACTAAAAGTTAATATATAATTTAACTCTTTCACTTCAATGAAAATATATCTCACAAAAGTATTAAAAAAAGTTTAGTGTTCGTAAATAAAACAATTCAATAAAAAAAAGCTTTCAATTTACTGAATAATTAAAAAGCTTCCAATAATATTAATTTACTAAATACTCAATATCGCTTATAGGCCACTGTGGCCCGCCATTTATTGTTTGTTTGTTTGTATGGCACTTTTAATTTCCCTTCATACAAATATGTTTTTTATGTTCTATGCAATTAAACAGCATCGGATTACAGTCATAAATTCATTAAAAATCAATTGCTTTTATTAACTAGCAGCGGGGACAGCAGGCGATGGGAAAATTACTACCACAAACTGCCAAGAAAATGTAAGGTCTTGAACTATTTGTTGGAAAATCGAGAACTTTGCCTTCTTGTTTACCTGAGTTGCCCAAGGCAATGTTTAGTTAAGGGGAAAAGTTTTTTTCGATTGATTGCATCTAAAGTTTGCTTAATTAGTCTTTTCCGATATTAACTTACTCAGTGGTTTGGCTACTAAATTGAACTTAAATCGCTTTAAAATGATTAATTAAGAACAAGCAACTCCTTAAGGAAACTAAATTTAATTTTGCTACGAAAAGTGAAAACATTTCATGCACATTTTCCCCTGAGCAACTTTGTTGCATCGGAATAACGCCTCTCTCTCGTTTATGCAAATTGTATTTATGCATTCAAACGGATTTGATTTTTAAGGCATCTGTTTTTACAGTTTCTCCATCATATTTTCGATGGCATCCGGGCTTTTTGCAACCCAAAGGAAAGGAAAGGAGGGGAAATTGCCGGGGGGTTAGGGATTTGTCCGGATGTTTACATTCACCTGGATAAGAGGAAGTGCTGATGATGGTTGTTGGATGGCAGACCATTCATATTTTTATTACAAAGGAATGACAGCCACGGCGAAAGGGAAAAGCCGAACGCACAGATTTCAATTACGCAGAGTTTTCCTTCTCTCAAGAAAATCCTGCTGCCGCCGTTGTTGTTGTTGTTTTTCCTGTCCAAGTCATTGAAGTTTCCTCGGGCGTCAGTTACATTTTATGAGTCACTGTATGTGTGTGGTGGTGGGTGTGCGGTTAATGGCTGGAAATGTAATGACAGGATATGCATTCCTTGAAGTGTCGAAAGGGGGGCAAGGGGACGACAACCAAGGAGCAACACCATCAAGTTGATAAGAAATTCCACGCTAATGCCATAAATCTGTAACATAAAGCCGCTTCTTGTGGCCTGATTTTCCCAGTTCCCAGTTCACATCCCAGCTTTAATGCAAAGTTGGCACGTGTTTTGGAAAACTTTCAAAAAGGGAATACCAAATTAGCAAGCTGAAGGCTAAAGTCGAATTAAGGGAAAAGTGCAGAGCGATTCGTTGGTATGCATGATGCTGTGAAAGGCAAATGTGCATCTATGATGCAATTATCCAGTTAAGAGAACAAATGCATTTCAATTTCAAATGTAATAAATCAAACAGAGAAGATTAAACGTAATGTCTAGCTGGCCAGCTCATTTCTATATTAAATAGTTTACTCCTACATTCGAAAGTACAGCTTGAAAAATGTATCGATATTTTCGATATATTTTAAACATCAATGTTTATCGGAAACACCGATGTTTTCCTGATATCTATAAAGAAAGTAATTATTTTTTATACCCGTTACTCGTAGAGTAAAAGGGTATATTAGATTCGTGCAAAAGTATGTAACAGGTAGAAGGAAGCGTTTCCGACCCTATAAACTATATATATTCTTGATCAGGATCACTAGCCGAGTCGATCTAGCCATGTCCGTCTGTCCGTCTGTCTGTCTGTATGAACGCTGAGATCTCGGAAACTACAAAAGCTAGAAGGTTGAGATTTTCCACGCATATTCTTGGGCTTCCTACGCAGCGCAAGTTTATTTTAGCCGAGTGCCACGCCCCCTCTAACGCCCACAATCGCCCACTAACGATTTTAAAATGTGTCTGGCGCCCACACCTTTTAAGATTTCCGAGAGGTATAAATGCAATTTTGTTGTGTATATTTATACCTATCGAAAAGTAGAACACATTTTTCAAATCGGACCATTCATTAAAAAGTTATACGCAATCAAAATTTCTATATCTATCTCCCTCGCACTCCCTTTAGCTGAGTTACGATTATTAGTCGGGACACCAACCCGACTAGTGAGTGACGGGTATTAGATAGTCGGGACACGAACCCGACTATAGCGTTCTCTCTTGTTTTTTTTAATTTTATTTTTCTTTGAAAGCATTGATACTATCGGTATGATACTGTAAAAATATCGGCAATATCGATAGGGTCAAATATCAATATTTTTTAGCTTTATTCTAAGACACAATGTAAATAATACCAATTTTCCCTTTGTTTTCCCAATTTTTCCGCTCCAGAAATCAACAATTAGAACCAAAAACCCTACTTCAATTAAAGTTTAATTTACCCCTTTCAATTTTACGCATTCAACATTCAAGTTTGCCTTAGAACAATAGAAACAATAGAAACTTGTTTGCCGCTAAAAACCGAAAACCAACAAATTGATTCCCTAGTAAATATAGGTGCAATTCGCCACCCGGAAAAGTAAACAAATACGAACTGAAACGACCATTTAATAGCTTTGAAAATATGCATAAAATATATTTTGGTCTATTGGGCGGCAAGAATTTAATACTGAATAATTGAATTTCCTACCCAAAACCATTAAAGCAAAACCAAAAGCAAATTGAATCAATTTCATGTTACAAATTGTATTGTTTTTCCCCCTGTTTTGCAGCTGGCTGGAATTGGATGCAAAAATGCAGCAGGCAACGAGCCGTGAAGGAATCAAATTAATCATGTTGGCTTAAACAATTTCCCGTTTGTTGGGCAACAAAATACGAAATACATTGGCATTAAGCGAAGGAAAATCGAGAATCGAGCGGAGTCAGTAGATTTTCCCCTGATGATAGCCAACTTGGTGAGCATGGAAACGAGCCTGGACTTGGATTTGGACATGGACTTGGGCCAGGACATTTCGGGGGAATCCCCGCCGCTCAACGTGACGCAGGCTGTCTGGGATCTGGCCATGCTGGCCACGTCCACCCAGTGGCCCCTCCTGGACACCGGATCCTCCTCCTCCTTCTTTGGCGCCGAGAACTTCAGCGAAGTGGCCGCCACCGAGACACCCTACGTGCCCTACGGCCGACGACCGGAAACCTACATCGTGCCCATCCTCTTCGCCCTGATCTTCGTCGTCGGCGTCCTGGGCAATGGCACCCTGATTGTGGTCTTCCTCAGTGTGCGACAGATGCGGAATGTTCCAAACACGTGAGTGTCGAGTGTCTAGTGTCCGGGGAAAAGTTTACGTAACTTTCGGAAAGATGGGTTCAGAGGGGGTAGCTTAAGCTAATGGTGGGTCATGACTTAAACTCTTTGCTTACAATAAAATGAATTCTAGCTCAATGAAGAATTATACTTGCTGTTAATGGCATATTTAATGATTATAAATAGACTTCGATTTACGGGTGAAATTATAATGTTCTTAGAAATTTTAGAACAATATAAAATAAACGATTTTTGAAGGATAGAACTTACTTAGCATCAATATCAACGATCGGAGGTACTTTAAGACTTAATTTAAAATACTCTTATAGAAAAAGATTCAGCTTTAAGAAGAAATTTTAGAATCCATTGTTGAGAAATTGGAAATATTAAAAGTTTTTTCCTAAAAAGGCAAATCTTTAAGATTTTAATAGCACCTTTAGGTAAGAACCATTTTATAAATTGCATCCAGATTTAACTAACTACCATTTTCTTCCTTGAATTTATAGGCATTTTAGGCATTGTTTTATGATTTTAATAGTACCTGTCTATAGTTTAAAAAAAGATTTTAAAAATGGCATTCAGATTTACTAATTTCTACCTTGTATTTACTTTCTTAAAATATTTTTGTTATATAAAAAGTAGCAAAAAACTTCAATAGGAAATAGGGAATCGCCCAGCCGCAACACCTCCTCGCCCACCTACACCCAGAAAAAAAAATTACCTAAAATGTCAAAAAATGGCCTAGAATTTAGGTAAAATTGGCCTAAAACTGGAGCTAAGTCCTTGAATGGCCTAAAATTTAGGATTCCATGACCTAAACTAAAATGAGGGTAATTTTTGGCCTAGATTTTAGGTAATTGGCTGCCAAAAATATGAGAAAACCCCTATCCAAAATTTTAGGCCTTCTTTGGCCTAAAAATATGTACTGAAAAATGTATAATATTATAAAGTAAATACAGAAAAGTTTATAGCTAACTCGAGGTCAATGTCGGGCATAGTCTTCAAGAAGTCGTCATTATGCCAACACACAAAAAGGAGCGAGGAGGCTTCACAGTTCAGCAGTGAAATCGCTGTCTTATTCAACGATCGAAGTGGGTTACCATGCAAGCCGCGCTATAACTGGTTGGGAATTATAGCGTCGCTAGAACGGTATCAGAGTTCCGTGCAAATTTATTTAGGTAAAACGCATTAATTTTAAGGCCCACGATGACCTAAAATATTAGGCTATACGGGACCTAAATAGTAGGGCAAATATACCAAAAATTTAAATTTTTAGGCAGTACATGACCTAAAAAGGAACTTTTAGTCCATTTAAAATGTTTTAGGCTATGCATGACCTAAAATGTTGTCCATCATTTTTCTGGGTGTAGTTGGAAATTTTTGATTTACGGGCAACTTAAATTGAATTTAATTATATGCCACACGCCTGGCAGCGGCGAAGAGTCTGCGCCAAATTATGCATGCAAAAGGCAAATGTCACGAGTTGGCCAAGAGCAATGCCTGAAAATTGTCCCCTCCCTCAGTCCTCTTTCCTCAGTACATCGGTTAATTAAGTGGCTTGCCAGGCAAGAAAAGGCAGCCGTTTGGCGATGATAATGGTAATGCTGTTACCGCCTCCGCCTGGAAATTGCTTAAAATTTCCCTTTCACATAGTAGGAAAAACATGTGCCCCACCAACAAACACACATTCAGCCGATCGATTGGCAGCTGTTGATGTTTGGAAGCTTGAATGCTTGGATGCTCGGATGTTTCGCAGTGGAGCAACAAAATGGCATAACTAATTAGTCATGTCGGGGTTGATTTTTGTACATACTACGTACGTATACGTATGTAGATTGTGCGCCATAAATCAAGTTATTGTACCAGGCTTACGAACGAGATAAATATGATTTTCGGGCAGACAATAACCTTATGTGACTTACACGAGCGAAATGTTGGCTGCCTACTTCTTCTGGGAAGCCAAAGTAATTTGTTAAAGGCGACCGAATATGAATTGTAGAAGCATTCCGGGGCCAAAGGAAGCCATTTGCTAAATTGAGGCATTTAATGGGACAGTTGGTCTGAAAGATTGAAAATTTAAGAATGTTTTTCTTCTTTTTTGAAAGAAAAAAATTGAAAAAATGAATTATATATTTTAAAACGTTATAAAAAAACAATATTAATCTCTCCCTTTAATATTGCAATGGTCTTAAATTTTCCTTAAAAACTATCCAATAAATTAGATATATCTTTATTGATCCTGAGTATGAGTATGATTATAAATAGTGAGAAACCGAAAAATAAGGAAATTTGGATCCTATGACCCTTAGATGAAAATAAATTATTGAAAAAGGGCAACATCACGTATACGTCATAAACTTTATAGCCAATAGTTCAATATACCGTTAAAATAGTAATATAAATTTCTTGGCAGCTTTTTTATCGAAAAAATGTTAGAGTGAAAATGCTTCCAATTAAATTCTTCGATTAGCCACTTGAAGGGCCCTGGCATGCCCATGCCTCAAAATTGGTTGACAATTTTCCGCGTTCATAAAATAAATAACTTAAACAGCACGGTTTCTAGTGGCAACATCTTGGCTCAGTGAATAAGTTTATTAGCGACACGAGTTCATCATTAAGCGGATGACCTTGGCCGCGGAGGCAAATGCCGGCCCTTGCGGCTCGTGGTTTGTGGCCAATTAAAGCGTTCCACTTTGTTGGCGGAAGTGGTCAATGCGGCCTGAAGAGCAGCGCCACTTAAAGCTGTATTGTTTGTGCCACATGGATGCGAATACGAGTACGAATACGACCTACGGGCACTTTAATCCCCTCACGAATGATTCTTGCAACACGATTTTGCATCAAGCTTAATTCACATAAAACTCGCAGACGAAAGGAAATGTCAACTGATCAAATTACGCTGAAATTGCATTTCGTTCCCCGGGTGAAAGCCAAAATGGTGGAGCTTTAAAAGCCAAGTGCCAGACCAGAAAACCAGGAGACCCAGAGACCAAAAGACCCTTATCGACTTTGCCGGGGGCCACAAAAACGTAATTTGGTGTTGCATTTCCGACGGCATTTCCAGAAACGTGGCAAACAAAGTGCCACATGCAGCTTATTTATGGAAAGCCAAGTGGTGGGATAAAGTCGAGGAATTACTGCATGAGATCCATTTATTCGCCGCCACTGTGGCCTCAAGTGTTTGGTGGCAGAAAGTCCCCTAAAAAATAAATAGTGAAATATTCGCCCTATTTTTTTGCCTTGCTGCCAGAAGCAAATAATTTACATTCCACTTAATAAGGCTTTTCCATAAATAAATCAATTTTAATGGTCATTGTATTACGCGCCAAGTCAGCAGCTTTACAATATAGAAAAATAAAAATTCTCACAAAAAGTTTGGCCAACATAAATCAAGTGGGTGCCACATTTTTATCACACTTCAAGACCACGTGCTGGCCAAAAAGATGAGTTAACCCCTCTTATCTCCCAAAATGAAGCATAAATCTTTCGAATTTTCTCTTTTTTTTCTTGAGTAGCTTGTTTGAGTAGCACTTTAAAAATTATATAATAAAAAATTGCTTGTTTCAGCTATATTTTATCGTTGGCCCTGGCAGATCTATTGGTTATTATTACCACAGTGCCACTGGCCTCTACGGTTTACACAGTGGAATATTGGCCATATGGAAGCTTCCTCTGCAGCCTTTCGGAGTTTATGAAGGATGTCTCTATAGGAGTATCGGTCTTTACCCTGACTGCTTTGTCGGGCGATCGGTACTTTGCCATCGTGGATCCCTTGAGGAAGTTTCACGCTCATGGTAAGTTTAGAAATATTTAATTATACCCTTGCAGAGGGTATTATGATTTCAGTCAGAAGTTTGCAACGCAGTGAAGGAAACGTTTCCGACCCCATAAAGTATATATATTCTTGATCAGCATCACAAGACGAGTCGATCTAGCCATGTCCGTCTGTCCGTCTGTCCGTCCGTCTGTCCGTCTGTCCGTCTGTCCGTCCGTTTCTACGCAAACCAGTCTCTCAGTTTTAAAGCTATCGGGATGAAACTTTCGTAAAAGTCGTATTTCTATTGCAGGTAGTATATATGTCGGAACCAAACGGATCGGACAACTATATCTTATAGCTCCCATAGGAAGAATCAAAAAAAAAACCTAAAAAAATTCTAGCTCCGGTGTTTTTTAAAATTTTACCTTCTACTCTTGGGAACATTTTTTTTTATATATTTTTGAATTTCGGTTTTTTTGTTTTTTAAATCGGATCACTATATCATATAGCTGCCATAGGAACGGTCGAAAAATTAAATGGAAATTAATGGGAAAAAAATTATGTCTTTGTTGGTTTTTATTACAGTTCCTTCTTTTCTGGGATATGACTATTTTGAAATATTTCCGAATTTCGATTTTAATTTTTAAAAGATCGAACTACTAAATCATATAGCTGTGATAGAAACGATCGAAAAATTAATGTGAAATAATAAGAAATTTAACATTTTTGCGATTTGTAAATTAATAGAATGATCTGCAAGGGTACATAAGCTTCGGCTTGCCGAAGCTAGCTTCCTTTCTTGTTTTAAGATTATTTCTAAAACTTTTCGATACAAATGAAGCACTGAAGCTTCAAAACACTTTAATGTTTACATACTTTGTCTATAAATAGTTTATAAAAATACAAAATTGATAAAGAATTTATTTAAAACAGTATTATTTTTTAATTTTCTTTATTTATCGGTTGCGCCTTACAATATGTATTTAATTACCCACAATAAATTTGATTGAAATTCTTGGTTTATTGGAATTCCACAACCTTTATTTATGTTTTATATTTTTCTGGGAATTCCTATAAAAAATAATACAAAATCTGCAATTCTGCTAAATCAGTTTTGTAAACACACAACTATTTAATTAACTTGTACACTTTACACATTCCTTTAGGAGGCGGTCGTCGTGCCACCAGAATGACTTTGGCCACCGCGGTTTCCATTTGGCTGCTGGCCATTCTCTGCGGGCTGCCAGCCCTCATTGGCAGTAATCTGAAGGTAAATCCTTTGTTAACCCCATTTTATGTCTCCCATTTACATTTTTATAATACCTTTGCTTGCAGCACCTCGGAATTAACGAGAAGTCGATTGTCATCTGCTATCCGTATCCGGAGGAGTGGGGCATCAGCTACGCCAAGTCGATGGTCCTGCTGCACTTCCTCGTCTACTACGCCCTGCCCCTGGTGATCATAGCCGTGTTCTACGTGCTCATCGCCCTCCACTTGATGTATTCGGCCAGTGTCCCGGGCGAAATTCAGGGAGCCGTGCGCCAGGTTAGCCCAAAATTCAATTTATGTTCCTATTGCCCAAAAAGGTATTCATAAGCACCACCAATTGAAATCAATCATTGGACACTAACCCCACAAAAAGGGGGCTCCATAAAAGTGAATTATAAAGTTTTGCCACAGCTAAAAAATGTGTGGAAAAACTTTCGCCATTCAGTTGGGTGGCATAAAATATTCATACTAACTGGACTGAACCATCGCTCGGAAATTCCAACTGAATTGCTGGCGATACTAGAATAAATTGAGGAACTTTTGAGTGGTTTAAAAAGCATGTGCTCTCTCATCAATAAGTATTCCTTATGCCAGCTGTCGCATTTTACCACATAATGGTATACATTTCAAGCGCAAATTGTTTCGCATATTATTTCCAATTCGTTACAACTTTTTCCCCAGCTTTTGTCTTTGAGCTTGTGGTATTTTATTTCTGAATGCTTTAGACTTTCAATGGTCTGGTTTTAAACGTTTTATCACCAAGAAATGGTTAGTCATATTTTTTATGCCATTTGTCAGATTGAATGCCTTTAATTTACTTGCAGGTCGTTAAAAGTTTTCGCTTTTGTTTGTGAACAAACTTTGTTTGAGCTTCCTTCCTTCAATTGTCTATGACTTTGTGCTTCAAAAGCTTCTCGACTTTTTTAGGACAATACAATACAAACGTTATGCTTCTTAAACTTTAAACAATTTTGAAACAATGGTCTTTATATTAAAATTTATATTAATGTTATTAGTTTGAAAATCATAATGAAACCCAAAGTTTTAAATTTAAATAAAGAAATAATTAAACAAATTCTAATTTATTAATTACAATTAAAATTACAATAAATACTTTAAAGAAATTTATTTATAATTGATATCATTTTTCTTAAAACCATTTAGCATAACTTTGGATTCTTATTAATTTCTTTCAGGTTCGGGCCCGTCGCAAAGTGGCTGTTACTGTGTTGGCCTTCGTAGTCATCTTTGGCATTTGCTTTCTACCCTATCACGTCTTCTTCCTATGGTTCTACTTCTGGTGAGTGCTGATTTTTATCCACCTCCCTAGAGAAGTGATGCTAAACTGGGCATCCTCATGAATGAATGGATGGAAAGTCAATTTGTCAAGCGGATAAAAGGGAACCTGCCAGCAGCAAAGGATAAAGTATACTACATATGGCTATACAGTTCATGCCTGTTCACAAAGGAGTCCTGCGTATGAGTAATGTTGTTGCCATTTGTCCGACACTTGTTCGCCTGGGATGCCGGACAATCAATTTACCCCTGATATCTCCATTATGGGTGCTTTGCAGACTCTGACTCTCGATGTTTGTTTTGTGTTTTTTCAAGATTTACTAGGGAACTAGAGGGGTATATTGTGTTCTCGCAAGAAGGACATAAATGCCATTATGTATTTTTATTTTATATTTTTGTTAAATTTATAATAACTATATTTTTTAGGGTAAATTTGGTCGGTTATATTATTGAAAGTAAGTGTCATTAAATTAGCTTAAGTTTATTTTATTAATATCGTTATACCTTTTGTGTTAATAAATTTGGGAAATATTTTAATGATCCTAAACTGGCACTGATATTATACTAAGGAAGAACATTTTATAGCCTGACTGAATTTATTTTAAAAAGTTCTGCAACCAAGGAAAAAAGGGTCTACGAAAAAAAGATCTATAGGATGCCTTGAATTATTTAAAGTATTCTGATCCAGCAGACTTTTGCTGAGTATCTGACAGTCGACTAAAGGAACTAAATGATTCTATCTCCCATTTTTCCCCTACTTGCAGGCCCACCGCCCAGGAGGATTACAATGCCTTCTGGCATGTCCTGCGAATCGTCGCGTACTGCATGTCCTTTGCCAACAGCTGCGCGAATCCCGTGGCCCTGTACTTCGTGAGCGGCGCCTTTCGCAAGCATTTCAATAGGTATTTGTTCGTTTACATCAATCCACCAGCCGCATAACAGAGCTACAGCATGATTAATGGGTACTCGCTAGTCGGCAGTCGCCTGTCGCTAGCAGATCAATAAACAAACTGTAGCCCCTTAACTGTAAGCGTAAGCCAACTGCAATTTGTATCTCTCCTTCTCTAAACAAAACTCATAACTTTCGAAAAAAAAAACAACAAAACTTTTGAGCAAACATGCGTAACTTGAAAGTTCACTTTCATTTTACCCCAAACTTTTAGCACAAAACATTCAGTAGTTTTCTCATTGTCATTCTTTGGGAGTTGGTTTATTTCCCTACTTTTTTATTCATTGCAGTTATTGCAGCTCTTTGTGAACGTAAATTTGTTTCATTTAATTTAAATTTCAATATTCATGACTGTCAATTTGAGAGCTCTACTGATGACATGATAAAACAAGGTGAAATAATTAATGCCTGACCAGCTCAATTGCAGCTGAAAAAGAGAGTTTTTATTCGATTTATATTTTTTAAAGAATTTTCAGAACGTTATGAACTGTTGGCAACCATATGGTGCTTTCATTTTTGTTCTACTTATTTGCTTCATCTTTCTAATTTCTTCTCAACTTGCATTGAACCGCACTCGATGACCAACTGCACAACTTCCCCTTCGAAATGAGTATATGTATCTGTATCTGCTCTCAAATTGCAATTTGAAATTGTTTGTTGCTTCCGTTTGAACACACAAAGTGCTCTGACCTCCACACAAGCACTGAGAAAAAATTGGCCAAATTTGTTTAAAAATTCATAAAAGAAATGTATTTCTAATTACTCTTTTTTACCATTCAGTTAAAAACATTATTTTATTGCTCAAGTTATTTTGATAAAATGTGTCACTGAAAATTCTAAAAAATAAAACAAAAATATTAAATAAATATTATATTGAAAATAAATCCTAAATATTTATTTAATAATTTAGATAATAATTTTTTAATAGATTTTAATTCACGATTATAAAGCTCTACCAATTTTCAGTGACACTTCATAATATGTTATCCCTTTATTTAATTTTAAATTGCATGAAAATATTTTTCTCTGTGTACACACACATTATCAGATTTAAGCGAATTTTTCGAAATATTTTTGTTTGACTCGCGAATCTGGCTTTCTTTTCCCCTTCCCGGCTTCCCGGCTACCCGTCATTCGCATTCGCATTGGCATTGGCAACTCCATTCTATTCTGTATCCCCGGATTCAGATATCTGTTCTGCCGCGGAGCGAGTGGACGGCGCAAGAAGCGCAGCCAGCACGACACCTTCTGCATGCACCGGGACACCTCGCTGACCAGCACCGCCTCGAAGCGCTACCAGTCCCGCCACTCCTGCTACCAAAGCACCATCCGCAGGTGAGTGCGGTGTCTATTTTCCGAATTTCCCAGAGATTTCCGTCATTTAAAACCCCATCACAACAGCTGTCGCCTGCAGGAGACAACGACAACCGCGCTACCAAATGGCGGGAATCAGAACGGAGCCCCCATTTCAGCCGTGGATTTGACCCCCGCCCAGGGTCACAATGAGGCACCGCCGAGCTATGGATTTTTGCCCCTTAACGAACTCGGCCAGCAGTCGCGTTCGCACCCACCAAAGTTCCAGGAGTCGCTGTTGAACTGAATCCCCGAAAGAATGTGTGGAAAAAACTATGGATTTAAACGGAGTTTACAGGAATTCGGGCAGCCATTTGCCATTGTATCCTTGGCTCTCTATCAAAATCAAAAGTAAACGTTAAAAGTTAAAAGCTTCATGATTTAAATTTATTTATTAAATTTAAAAACATTAAAGTACAAGTGATTTCTCTTTATTGATCATTTCATTTTTGTATAAAATATGTAAAATGAAAACTTTAAAAGGTTTATGCTAAAACATTTTATTAAGTTTTCTATAGCATACTTATCAGAGTACAAGAGTCATAAGATCTTAAGTTCCGACCCATGCATGGCCATGCAAAAACCTATCCATCAAAAAGCAGTTAGAAAGCTAAACTAAACTAAACTTTCGTATAATGTAAATATAAACATACCAAAGAATTTTGATGTCTTTTATCCGTGTCAAAGTCATAGAGTTTAGGCTTACAAATAAACTAAAGTATTGCAGCCGTGTCGCGGCTTTAAGCTAAACACATTTTGCGTATAAATTATATTGAATGGTTAAGCAGAAAGCAAAAACGACTTGAATAGACCCCGTTTTAAAAGCTAATCACCGAAACTTTGTAAATACATTTTTATGTGCCGACATATAGTTGAAAATAAATGTAAATTGTGCGTTAAAAACTTTGTTTCCATCTGTCTGTGTCACTGAAAGTGCTCGAAAAAGCCAGAAAGCTGCGAACAAGTCACGGAAATTTATGGGAAATTAAATAACCCACAGACCAGCCAGCTGTTTCAGCGTATAGACAACTTTAAGGAGCTCTAAAAGAAAACTTTGTTCGCCGCAACAACAGCAAAGCGGACCGGTCGTGACCTGTAAAAAGGGAAACCGCTTTGGATTGGATTGGAAAACTCCCTGCGGTTCTGCGTGGGCTCTGCATGGGACACTTTTTGGGGAGATTAATTGGTTTGGCCGCAGGCACAAAAAGGTGAAATCGGAGTCACAACTTAATCTTATTCACTTCAAACAAATAGCTTTTGGTAGGCTTTATTTGGCTGCGAAACCCACGAAACAGTTGCTCGATTTGCCTGCAGTATTAAAAAGCCATTGCGGAAACCCTTTGAAATATTTTAGGGTCCCAGATTGATCAAAAATCGAGATATAAATCGTGCTTTTTGTGACGTTGCGCTTGAATTTTTGTTTATCTTTGGAATCCTTTGTGTAAGATTTATGTAGAACGGTTTAAAATAGATTTATTGTCCTAATTTAACTCATGTTGAATAATACAGGTATGTTTTTTGTGTTGTTGATTGCTTCATATTGTTATCTTAGGAGGTGAATAATATGTATTTTAATGTATTTAATTTATTTATTATAATGTTAGAAAATATGGTAGTTAGACATCTAAATTGTTCGTATACAAATATATGAGAAAATCCGACGTGGGAGATAGAAAATATACAGCTAATGGCTAACGATTTTTAACAATTTTAAAACATTTCAAACTAATATGTTTTTAAGTTCCGTTTAAATGTCTGACTACGAACCCTTTAATGGCTTAATACATGAGGCCCTTGAACCTATAAACTCATTATTGATACTTGTGTCTGCTGAAGATTTGTGTCAAAAGTTGATGGGATCCTTAAACCTACCCATAAAGTCACATTAACTTTTCATCTCGTTTCCAGAATCAATATCCGGCCATTTCGAAGATGATTTTGTGGGGGCGTAAGTGTCATTGAAATGTGCCATCACGTCAATCAGCTTAAATCGGACGCACATTTGTGCCATTATTTACTGGGAGCCCTTTCTTTTTTTCGTATTTTTGTTGTTGGCCTAGGACTTGCCACAGATTCGACAGATACAGAAATTAAATTAACTCATGAAAATGTTGAGCGCGTCGGGCGTGCGTTGATCTGGCAGCTACGTGCCGAGGATTTGCCTCCGGAGGAATCCAGAGTCCTGAGTCCTGAATCCTGCGACTCCTTTTGCATGTCCCGCGCCACAGACGTTATCTTTTTTTGGCCTGGCAACCAACCCATCAGCCATTTCTCTTGTACTCCTCTATTTATTCTACCATCTTTTCGCTGCTCATTTTTAATAAACCGGCTTCGGGTGCTCATTGCGGCATTTCAGCATTTCAGCGACCACGTCAAGTTGTCATCAAGCCAAGTCGAGTGCTTATCCCGGCTTTATTAACTGTCCAAAGTGTTTGTCGCCCTTCTGCGGCTAGTCCTCCTCGCCCGAAGTCTTCATCCTAGTCCTTTCGGTATCTTGACTTTATTTTTCTCGGTTTTTTATTCTTCTTCCCTTCAGGTTTTAGGTTTCCGATTCCAAGCTATTTTTTGCTCATTTTCTGACGATTATTTTTGCTATTTTTAAATTTAGTCTGGCGGAAATTTAATTTTGTTTCGTTTGGATTCGAATCTCTTGGTTTATTTGTGGCCCAAGGCTCTGGTCTAATTAGCAGTTACAGGAGTTTTATATTCTTGTAACTTACAGGTGAATAAATAATTTTTAGGTGACCATAAATCTGTCTGTATAGCCAAGAGTAGATCCAAATCTATATGCTGATAATAATCAATGGATAGATTTATACATTTTCATCATTAAATTTACTTCACTATTAGAAATATAAAATAATTTGAGGTTCCAACATATTTTGTAAATATGTAACGCAAGAAAGAAATTCGTTTTCCTATCTTAACTACCTACTATTTTGACCACGCTCATTTGAACACTATTGACCGCTTCTGCTATAAACCTATTAGTTTTTATAGAGCGATAAGTGCCGTTCGCGATTATAAAAATTGGCGTTCTGCAAGTGACTTTCAGAAACAAACAAACAGGTCAAACAATTCCGGGGAAGACGACTGATAGTACGTAATCTCTTGAATTCCGAGTCTTTGAAGTGACGATCAGTTAGTGATTAGGCACCATAGCCTTATCAAAAATAAGAATTGAATCCATTAAAAAGGCGTCAGTTTGATTTTACTGATTTTTAATCACTCGTTGAGGGACTACCCCGATTCTAAGCATTCTATTTTTGGGCTGTTTAAATTTTCTGAATAAATTTATTAAGGGCACTCAAACTGGTTGGGTGCATTCATAGGAATAACGTTATCACAGCAGGGTGCATTCTGTGGGTACATTCAGTGGAATAACGTTATAACAGAGGGGTATAAAAATATCAAAAATGAGGTAGAAAGCAAACTTCGGCAGGTCAATTGGGGTATTCAATTGCGTTGCAAAAGTAAAAACCTTATAAGATTGCCAGACAAAAATTTAAAATAAAAAAATAAAAATTGAGGAAAAAATAATTGCAAGGGAGGCCAATTGACATTTTTACATAAAAATGGTCCCGTGTTTACTTTATGTGAAAAGTTCGCGCCTTAGGCGTCAAATGGACATTAAAGTTTATTACTTGTATTATAGTCATTCTTATTTGGTTTCACCAAAAATTTGGTTAAGCCGCTAGTTCTTCATTTGATTGTGAAGCCAATTTCTTGGTCAAGAATGTCATTTTCTTACTAACCACTTAATTAAATACCCAAAAATCCAAAACGCTGGCAGCGCAGCGGCAGAGAAATGCCCTATTCCATAGGTCGTGAGCGCTGCCTCTGCTGGCCACCACTTATATATAAGCATCGTTTACCAATGGCATTTACCAAGAAAAAACATTGGTCGACAATAGTATTGCAACAAAATCTATACGCTAATTCTTAAGAGTCAATCGGATTTTAGGTTGACCTCACCATAGATTCAAACCCGGCTTTTTGGGCCTTGTAAACTCTTTTGTAAGGAAATGGATGTTGGAACTGCTTTCACTTTTACACTTTTCAAACGGTTGCAACGCAATTGAGTTGTTTTTCAGACCATATATTTATTTTGTTACGCTAATTTTAGTAAATATCTTAATCACTAATTGTACTTAGAGTACACATCACTTTTGGGCCTCATTTTCACCAGGTGTTGGAGTTATTACTTGAAGTTCTTCTAGATTACTAGGTGCGTTATCATCTATCTGTGATTTCTGTTGGACGACAGGAGGATTTTTCGTTTTTGGCCGCATGAATTGGTCAAGTGCACCAAAAGGAGCCTCGATAAGAAGGTACATTATGTAGGAAAACAGTAGGGTGAAGCCAAAGGACGACCAGAAGTTAACCATCTATAAGGATAAAATAATAAGATAAAGGCTTTTATATTATGTAAATAGCTTAAACCTACGATTGAGTAATCCGAGAAGTATGAATTCGTCCTGACATTTCGCGCGTTGACCTCCTGGATGAACATGTGCCATATGTAGACGGAATACGAAAGCCTCGAAAGCGGTTGCCACAGCGGGGTGGAGAGGAAACTGTTGGCCAGACCCCCATATCCTTGCATGCAGGCAAAGACCACCCAGCAAAGGGCCGACGACCAGCCCAATCGGGTGAGTGTATAGTAGAAGGAGTTCTGCAAAGTGGTCAACGGAGGAGCTCCCTTCTGAGCCGCCGGATATAGAGCAAAGATCGATGTGAAGAGCATCGCCAGGCAGAGAATCCATCCAGACCAAACGGCCACTTGGTTCAACAGAAACTTCTTTCCCTTAGTTACATACAAAAAGTAACCGAAAAGAAATCCAATCAACCAAGGCGTCGCATGCGTGTGGGTGGCAAAGTACATGGCCCTCATGGCATCGGGGGAGAAATTCCTATTTATAAGAAAGAGTCTTAAAAAGGGTTCCACAGAACAAAAGTTAGTAAGATTCATACTTGTACGTCATTGAGTAGTCGTTGACCATCATGGTGGCAAAGAGGCAACCGGAGAGCAGGATTATCAGGACAAATATAGCTGCAGCAACCTTCTTGCCCCATTTATGCAGCGTTATCAATAGAATGGGTGAGATGAGGAAGAGCTGCATGTCCAGCGAGAGATACCAAGTGTGGCCAAGGCACTGAAGCACAAAAGAGGTTGTTAAAAATATTCCTTAAAATTCATAAGGCCAAAAACTCACCAGATCATCTGTCCAATTATTCACAAACAGCAAAGTCAAATACCAATTTTTCTCACAGTTTGCCTTTCCAGCGAAGCCACCCACAAAAAGTGGTCCACCCGATATAACGGGCATAAGTGTCATGTAGATCAAAATGGCCATCCCCAAAAGGGGCACTATGCGGATTATGCGATGCAGATACATCATGGGCACATTTAGTTTGCCCTTAGTTCTAAGTATATTATCATAAATAAGTTATTCTAAATTTTTGAGATAATAGATCTACTTACTTATCCATTAAACGCAAGGTAATCAAAGATACCAACAGTCCGCCGAGCATAAAAAACGAGTCCACCGAGTAAAAGCCATTCAGAATGAAACTGGCAAAGGGCGTCGTTTCCCACTAGAAACAGAATTTTATTAATATAATTTAATAAAAATAATTTTATAAATATAATTTTAGTTAATATAAATATATTTATCGATTTAATTTCTAATCTTACCGCAGCAATGTGAAAGAGATTTATACTGGCCGATGTGAGAGATGATATGTATTGATGGCCAAAGACCACCCAAATGAGAGACATGCATCGAATTCCATGAAGACAGTCGATCACATTCGGGTTCGATTTGTTCTCCACAACCCGGAAAAGAGCTCGAGAACTGACCCTGGCTGAGAAGACCTTCACGTAGGCAGGTAGCTCATCTAATGGTTACGGATAACTGTTACTTTTCCTTAACATAAACACCACAATTGCTTGATTACTCACCCTGATTCTTGACCAAAAAGTAGTCCCACAGTGTAAACAAAGCCACTAGGGTAGCCAAAACCGATAAGATCACGCTGTAATCAGAAATCCATAAAAGTGAGCCATAATTTGATAAACATTATGTCGTCACACGTACATCATAAAAATGGTGAGTCCATCCCAGGGTTCACGTTCACTCGTCTGGCAGGTGCTATCGTTGATGGTGATACTTGTGCTGGGAGTCCCCGTTCGGGTCGAAAGACCCATATACTTTTTCATATGAACCGCCGAACAGGACGCGGGTATGCAAGTCGCACTTTTGGCTAGATACACTGAGCGAAAGCAGTATTTTCCTTGAATAGTTCGGTTTGGACTTCCCTCCTTACTGATTTCCTTTCGAATATTGAGACACTCGTCGAAGTTTCCCAGGTCGTACAAGTTGCCAGTTAGTTGACCCGAGGGAGTGGAGCCCCAGGAATCCATCACTAGATATTAAATATAAATATCATATCATATCTTTTGGCTTAAAACCCACTTACTTTTCAATGCCCACATTTGGAATCTTTGAAGTCCCGCCGTTAAAGCAGCCAAATCATCCAGGCACAGCTGATCCTCTTCACTTATCGTTTCCTCCTCACTGGGCTTCAAGTCCTGAAAACGCTCAGCAAACTCCAAGGCCATGGGACTAAGTTGGTTAAGGTGCTGTAGCTCCGGCAGGACATCTTCTTCTCTAGAATTCGCGGCACTAATGAGGGCAAGCCCACAGAGGAAAACTACTGCTGTAACGTTGAGCATGATGGCTCAATACGTTTTGATGGTCTATCATCGAATTCGGAACCCTTTATATGCGAATTAACTGGTCGCGATAAGAACTGTCTATGAAAGCAAATTGGTCTGTTAGTCAATTTCCATGAACAAGCTTGATAAGCTAATCATTCAAGTTCTCAGTATCCACTTTTCGTGATTAAGTACCATTGTACTCGGTAGTTCTAGTCAATAAGTTTAAAGGTAGACCCGAAAGATATCGGGTCTCAGTAGCTGGATATCTTATCGGCATATAGTTACAGCCTTTTCCGAGGACTATGTAACTCACAATTTTTCTTTAATAATAAATGTTTATAGTGATATAAATTTCTGAGTCAAAAATGATGGGATTGTATCAAATCAATAATAAAAGTTTAATGCCAATTGATTTATTATCTTTGGCACAGTTTAAAGTTCACATTTTATACTTTCAGCACATTTAATTTTCTATTCAACTAATTTCCTTTCCAAAAAAGGCAAATCCGTTGGTCAAACCGATAAAATGCAAATGCACTGTTTCCCAAAATAACCAAATTTTATTATAATTAATTTAAGCTGCAGTGATTTCTGGCTTAAAGTTTGACAATCTCCTCTGAGGGTAATTTAAACTAAATATTGGCTTTCGTATCTGGCTTAATTGAATATTTATTTATCAGTTTATCGCATTTTATCCAGGATTATTTCCGAAAATGTAAGAGCTGTTTTTTATTTTAATAGCATTCTAAGCCATTTAGGCATTTGAAGACCACTTTATATATGTAGTGAATATTTTTCCCAGTTCGATGACTAAATTTTATTGCTTTCGGGCCGACTTTATTTAGCCAATTAAATAGCCATAACAAAGTGTGTTTAATTCAACAGCTCTCGGATAAACGGCCATTAATATTAATTTAAGTTAGACAAGCGCCAAGTTTCTTGACACTTCAAAACCACAAAAACAAATGTGGAGTCGTAATGAGGAACACAATAACACCGCTACATGTGAATAAAAACGAAAGCCCAAAGACAAACATGGCAATAGCAATAACAATAATAACGGCAAGGTCCTTAAAGATATATGGGTGGGTGGGTTTTTCTTTTTGGGGGAGGGGGGTGGGAAATGGAGAAACATTGCCGTGGTAAATAAATAAAACGATTTCAGACGCTTAGAGACGCATATGTAAACACAAAGTCCTCAAGGTGCAAAGCACGGCATCTTAGCGGCATTCCTTGTGTGAAAAGTGCGGGGGTTTTCCACGGCAGGAAAATGGGTGGGGGGAGGGTGGTGCTGGGATCGGCGTGACGAAGGATGGTCCCTGCTAATCGTAAATTGCCTGGCATAGCACTAATCTACACATGCACACTCGCATATTCACATATTAGGGGCATAAAAATTGGCACTCAATAAGCATGAGGGCACTTTGGGGCCACTCACACGATTTCCCTCCGAATTTTCCACCTCCCTGCACGTACACTCACACACATACAGTTGCAGATACATATGTTTATGCGTGGGCGTTTTGTCGCCAAGAGGCTTGAATTTTCCTCGGCGACGCTGACGGCATAGTCTAGATGTTATAGTCTCCAGGTTCACCGCACTCCGCACAACCCCCCGCACACATCTGGCCATGCATTTTAAATGCCTAAATGGGATACAAATAATAATCGTAAAAGGTTCATTGAGTGGGTAAATATGTTAATGACAGCCTTAGATGTTGTCAGTGGCTTAATTAAAATAAATAATAGGTTAGTCACTATTTTTAGCAGGCCAGTTGCTGGCTTCCTAAAGATTTAATCTGATAAAGGATTTAATCTTGCCTAATAGAAATTGGGATGTAAACCATTACTTAAATATTAATAACAGCTGATATAAAATTTATTAACTATATTTTGTGCAGAGATAAATAATTAATATTTAACTCAATTAAACAACATATAATTTTATATACCACAGACCCATCATCAATCACGAATCCAAAAGCAGTAATCAATAAACTGGATACCCAGATTAATGTGTACAATGATTTATGCTAATGGATACGGTATAAATTAAACCGCATACTCATATAGCCTCTTTGGAAAAACTACATATATTTCGCAATATGCAAGAAGCTTAAATATTCCTGAAAATATTCAACTATACAAACTTTACGACCCAACAGCCGAAAAGCCAAAGCAACCTAAAAATCACCACCTGCTGATTTATATTTGCTGGGAATTATACAAGCGTGCCAGGACCTCTTATATCCCCCTACTTTCCATCGTATATTATCGGTCACTGGACCCGCATTTTCCAACTACCCACCTACTCCTCCTTCAGCAACACACTTAACCTCGGATGTGAGTCTATTTTAAGCATTTACAACTTTATGGCCAACGGTCAAGAGGCAGGCCATTGAAGAGCACACCATCCACATTCACCACCCCCTGGGAGACCGACTTTAAGCTCCTTTCGGGAGCAATCACAGTTGGCGGTTGCCTCAAATGCCACAAGAGCCACCCACGCTCGGTTGGCCACCACCAAGTGTAATCCTAGAGCTCACCCACTTTTCGAGGCTGTGATTTTTGCCAGCTAATTGCCGAGAAAGCAGGACAAACTTCTAAAATCATTATTAGGCGAAGAAAGAGGAGTTGAGAGGAGGAGCACCTGGCATTTGGGCATGCTTTGACATTAAGCATACGCCTCGTGTGCCGGAGCTCTGGAATTTAATTAACTTGGCTGGGTAGAACCCCGCCATTTGAGAACTCGACAATTATACAGGTATGGTTTCGAGTTTCCCTGCCAGCCAAGTATTCAAATGAAATGCTCTAGAAAGTCACAGTCACCATATATCGTCGTCCAATCGAAGGAATGTCATTATCCGCACTTGAAAATTGACACTCAAATCGATTGGAGCAGGAATAAACCAAGTTTAGGGCGGCGTAAAATAAACAACCCACGCGAAAGCGAAAGGAGACCCGCATCATGTGTTTGGAGGCCTGGGCCACTCAACCCGGCCAAAGTCACGAGTCCTTTCGCCGGCTGAGCAAATAGTAAAAAGGACATTCGCCCGAATTGTCACATTCGCACGCTTAACTGAATGGGACAGCCGCAAAGATTAAACTGGTCCCCGATTTATGCATTTCTCAATAGACAGAACAAAGACACAGGCACAGGAATTTCCATAAAGCTGAGAAAAATCCTTTCTTTGTCCTGGCAGCGTCAAAGGTCAAAAGGTTTTGAATAACACTTCAGTTGTGTGTGTGGAATATGTTAATGTTTACTTTGATTTTCTCAAACGTTTCTTGGTAAATTAAATAACATTTTAAGATTTTGGCATCGAAAAGTCTCTTTAATCTTAATGCCATAAGTCTGACAGCTTAAATAAAGGTCAAATTCCGATTTATTCAATTTATAATTCACAAAGTCATTGAACCATTTTTCCGTTGTGTTTATTCAAATTTCCAGCTAAAACATCCGAAGTGTCCAAAACTGGCACTTGTTTAATTAATTTCCATTTCAATTTTAGTTCTTGTATCGTCCCAAATATCGCTGGTCAGACTTGGCAACTTTTCTTTTTGGCGTCCAAATGGCGAACTTTGAGTCCTGATAAAATAAATCTCTCTTTTTTCGTTTCGTTGGTTTTATTTGTTTGCCGTTTCGGGGGCAAAAGTGCGGGGTAAAGTGAGGACGAACCCTTTTCAATCAAATTAGCCATAGTCAGTGGAGCAATTCCATCATAGTGGGCAGATGATGAAAATCCTCGATGGGATTATAGAACGGGTTGAGCGTGTTATGGAGTCGAGTTGAGTTCAGTTGAGAGAAATGGAAATATTTGACTAACAGCTGAAAACAATTCTTTTGAGATGGAACGATTGTGTTGGCCATTTCTGTAATTAATTCGATTTTTGAAGTTACCTTAAAGATATAAGACTTTATTGAAATAGGATATTTTCTTTCTTTTTTTCTTAACTGCTTATTTATTTAAACAAATAGTGTGCGTATTAAGGACTAAATAAACATTGTTGCTTTAAGAATCTCCTTTTCAGTGCCCTAATATTTGTAGAAAAACAGGAAAAAAGCCAGCTCACCGTGACTCACAAGAAGAAAGGCAAATATAGGACATATGACTGACCGAGTACCCTTTAACCTCCCTTTTTTTTCTGGAGCACTTCGAATGTCAAAGTGGCAGTGGAGTGGAACAGCAACAATTGCCCTCATCTCCCTTTTTTTCCCTAGAATTGACAGCTGTCTTCGGACTTTGTTGCCAAATTGTGAAAGACAAACAGCAGAAATTTCACTGACAACTTTGGCCAAATCATGGGTGGCTCATTTATCAGCGGGCAACAGTGGGTTAAGAGAGTGTGAGAGGTTTAACCCGCCGTCAGCTGCATTTGCTGCAAAACTCTGGACCCGGCCAAAACTTCGGAGAAACTCGGGCCAACTTATAAACCAACAACCAAGTCGCAATTTAAACAAAGTTGAGCTTCCGTTTCCGGTCGGTTGCATGCAAAATAATGACAAATCGCCGACTGAATTGTGTCTTAAGTACGTGTTTGTGGCCTGACTTCAGGGAATCTCTCCAGCTCTCCATCTCTCTATTCCTTGGAGCTTAACAAACATTTCCCAGGCTTTCGAGTTATGACATTTGAAGGGGTCACATGTGTTCCGAAGGCATCACGTATTATCGACATGTTAACGAGGCATTGTAATATTCATAACCCCGGCACAATAGATTCATAGTTTGCGGTTGGTGTGCCTGAATAACAAGGAGAAATAAAAAAAGGTTTAATCTCCCTGATATTTAAAGAACTTAAAAGAGAAGCTAAGTTATAGCATACTTACAAAAATCATTTACAGCTTTTCTGGCATTTTACACACTGAACTAAAGAGAAAGGTTAGGGAACTAAACCGAAAAAATATCCAATGCGTGCAAAGCTGCTGCACTAAAATATCATTTTTCCACTCTACTGCACCGCTGCGGTTTTTATAGTTATTTTTCTTTTGGGGAAAATGCCAGAGTTCAAGCTGACTCCAAAAGTAATAAATAAAACAAGAGGGGGTATAGTAAAGATTTGCCAAAAAAACTTGAGGCAAATCCCAAGCAAGGTCAAAGACTGGCATTAATAATTCAGTCGAATGTAAAAATAAATACGCTTGGTAGTCGCGAAACAAAAGGGGATTTGATAACTGACATAATAATACATTCCGCGCAATCGGAAAGTTGAGAAATTGCGTGAAAATCTTCGTCCTGTCAGTGGCAGCTGCCGGCATCTGCGAATAGATTAAAAAATATCAAAACCAGCAGACAGAGCAAACAGACGGCACTTGGCATTTTGCTTACTTTCCTGGCTACAGGTGGACAGTGGGAATTCCGAGAGATGGGAATCCATATCTCGCCTCCAGGCGATTACATACTCGCCCAACTAGCTGAACAGTTGTCGCTGTCACATCTCATCACATCACATCGCAGCACATCCCTTCGCATCATTTGCATATCTTCTGCAGTCGCCGTGTGTTGCGCTTATATCACGCATCCGCAGCGTTGGCCCATGCAATCGATGCCCTGCAGGCGCTTTTACCCCGGCTCTACGATTTCCCTTCTTAGTCGCATGCCAATCTTTGCTGGGGCTCTCATCTCCCTTACTCCTCCCTTCGATGGGTTAGGGAAGGCTTTTCGGTGGAACAGGGGCATCTATCGTCAATCAAAGGATTCTGAATTCTGCCCTCTTTCTCTCTTTCTGTTCGCCGGCCTGTTTGGCTTTGTAATTTATTTGCCATGCTCGAGATTTGACTTAAAGTGGGTTAAAACCGCACGATTTGGGCCGTGACATATGATAAGGGGAAATCGACCTAATTTGTTCGTCCGTCCTACTTGGCACAAATTAACTTAGATTGACCTAAAAGTAAAGAACTTTAGTTAAATAAAGTTGTAAAATAAATGTAGATTTTTATAAACATTATTTCTAATACCTATGTATTTTATAAAAGTGAATGTATAATAGTTAGGTCCATTTTTATTTATAAAATTGTTGTTTTTTAGTCCATTTGTAAGGTTTATTAACTTTTTGTTTACTTGTTTTTGTACCTTTAGGGCTAGTACTCAACACAACAAAAAGTCGTCCAAAACAAAAACTTCATATGAAACAAAATTTTTTGACGTTGTTTTTCATATGAAGTTTTTTGTTTTGGACGACTTTTTGTTGGGTTGAGTACTAAGCCTTAATTTTAAACAATAATAAGTTGCTCTATTGGATTTCCAACAAAGCTTTCACTTGGCTAGATGTTCAAGTCTCGACTACCTTTTCGAATATGATTGTTGAGCTTTTAGCTTGTGATGTAATACAGTACTGAATGTCGTCTACAACTTATTTTTACGTAGTTTACAGCATGTAAAATGAAAGTAGTTATTTTCTTAGACCGAAATTAAACGAAGAATTTTCTTAAGCTAAAAATAATTGAAAGTTATAAGCTACATTTGTATTTTTACAGTTCATTTATATTTAGTGCTCAAAGAAAATAATGTATAACGGGTTTTAAACGATTTAAAATATATATATATATATATATAAACCCTGGGTTAATAAATACGTTTTACTATTTTAATAGAGAAATAATCAATTTATATTGTCTATTAGTTTTAATATTTAAGCGTAAAAGTTTTTCAAGATACGAGAGGTATGCGAAAAATATATTCAAGAAGATATTTCTCATACCCTGCTAAAGATCAGCAGACGATAGATTTTTCCGATTTAAATAAATTTATAAGGATTAGATTGTTGTTCATAAAATCCTACCGTTGGTATAACCAGAAAGGAACCACTGATTCACTGGCTGAAACCCCACTCGATTGCTCATTTCTTGGCCGAATAGACGACAACAGCTGCCACGCGCTCGCAGAATCAGACTCTCTTCCGGAGCGGCTCTCTGCACTTGTCTTGGCCAAAACGTGTTTTAGCCACCGTCTGTTGGCCTGGCTCTTGGCAGCCAGTCTTCAGTTCGATTCGAAGCGCGTCTTAGTTCGGTTGTTGCCGCCGGTTGCCGATCAGCATTTTGGCCAAGTGAATGTCTTTTAATTGTAACCAAAACAATATCGTCCAGTGGGTGATATGTAAGTGAGCCGTGCGTCTCAGCCGTCTGCCCTCTCTTTCGCTCCGGGTACTCCCGTCTCTTTCGCAGCGGAGCAAGTGCGTCGGAAGATTTGCTGACAAGCGGGTTTCAATTTGAATTTCGGTCTTCGGTTATCGCTTTTCGGGATTTTCGTTGGGCTTTTACGTATGCAAAGAGCGTAGTTTTTAGCATTACCGTTGTCTCGACGCGTCATAAAAAGTGACCACGCCCCCGCCCCCAAACACCGCCCCCTCTGAAAAGCAATCGTTGATTATTTCCACGGAAAATTTCACTTTGCATCGAAAGCTAGTTTTTGCATAAACACACAGTGCCCACCGGACTTGGACTCGATTTCCTAAGACCCCCGACTATAGGATGGACCTCCATTTAACATTATATACTGCATATATCTAGCATTGAGATTCTCGAGCGTGGAATTAACATAAAGTTTTACCCCCCGGCTGGCCTCCAATTAGAAACTGCCATAAATGCATAAGAATTGTGCAGTGAAGTCCATTCAAAGACTTAATTAAGAATTATTAATTATTTAATTACCCTCACGCAAGCCAAGGTCGTTGGCTAAAATGATAAAATGCGATATTTTCCAGAAGTTTTACCTCTCACCCGTAAGAGACCAATAGAAAACAAACTAATCAAGTAAAAAATCTCATAAATAATTGCAAGAAAAAACCGAATACAAACAAAAAACGGCAAACCTCCAGAGCCAAGATATATTATATGCTTTCGTGTTTATATAGCAAAGAGACAGAGATTCAAGGTGAATGTTGCCATTATTTTTTTGACAGAGTGCTCGAGCAACAAGTGAAAATTTATTGGGAGTTTTTTTTTGTGCTCGCGTGCTGAACGGGTAAAACTTAAAGAAACGTAGCCGAAAATCACGGCGAAATAAATGCTATTAAAAGAGTACATAAATTAAAAGAAACCAATTTAAGGTGTTTGCAAAAATAAATAATCAGTGACTAATTTGGAAAGGAAGAAATAAATAACAACGCATGGGTAGTATTTTCTTATTATGGGAATCCCCAGTCGAATTTTAGAATCATTGCTTCAATTAGCATTTCAAATCGCCTTCTATTTATTATAAATTCAGCATTTCCGAGAAAAGTGCCTTTATGTTCTAACAATCTGCGATCAGTAGCTCTTTGAAATATATCCATAATTAAAGGGGAATTTTTGGTAATCAATTTGCTTTAATTACTTACCACCTCTCATTAGTTTCCTAAACTTCAGAGCGGTCCAATGTCGTTAACCATTTAGAGAACTTAGCCTACTCACACACAATTCTAGTTATCCATCATACGCAACGTTGGCGTTTTAGCCTTGAACTTTTTCGTCAGGTAGAATCCACTGAAAGGGGCTACAGCGAAGAGAAAGAAATCGCATTATTATTAATTACATTTTAACGGTAACTCCAAAACAACGCAAAATGTTTTGAATGCCTTCCAGAAGAAACCCGTCTGACCCGTCCTACCAAAAACAATTTCTCGCTCTCGACTAAATTCGCCAGCAAAGCCATCAATAAAAATACAAATAATACGTATACGCAGCAACAAAAATGCAAATACTGGACAACAAATAATTTAACGATAATTTACAAAACGCCCGAGGCATAAAACAAAACAAAAAGTTTAATAAGAAACCAGTCAAATTGGAAATTACACAGAAACCAACAACATTTCGGATAAGGCTGTTTTTTAGAGGAGTAACGAAAATGTCTCGGTCGACGTCGCAGTCGACGTCGCTGCTTCTCGGCCGCAGCTTCTTTTTCTTCGTCACCATCATTTTTGGCGGCTGCTTTGCACAAGGTGAGTGAGTTTTACATATGATTTCGACTTTATGATGTCTTATGCGGCACAAGACAAGACAAAACTTAATTTAAGTCATATTCTTCGAACAATATTTCGGTCTCCCCTAAGAAAACCCCAAAAAGTCTGTCTGATTCACTGCATGCTAATTTATATCTCAATGGTGGCGGCTTCTTCAAGCCGTGAGATCGGTGTCTTTTACAAGCCGGAACTCTCCGAAGGTCTGAATCCAAAGAACGACGACACTAAATGCGTGTTCAAAATTAAAATCCCAAAATTAAAGCCAACTGTGAGTGAATTGTCACGAAAAAGAAACGGATGCTCAGTAATAAAGCCCGAATAAAAACAAAAACACGTCTAAAACTTCCGGAGAGTTAGCAGATGACAGTCGTGATTAGACAAACAATTTTCAGTTCAAAAAAGAGAAAAAAGTGTCTAACAAATAAGTACTTGATCAACTGGCAGCCACAAATTTGGTTGCACCTGCAGTTGATTTTTGTACCCTCGGGGGTATTCAGTATTTGACTGGCAAATGTCGACGGTTTTGGCCTTTTTCGGCAACCTTTTTATGGCTGCACGGTGAAAAAACAGTTTAAGGATTTATTTTTGAAATTTCTGAATGGAGTTTTTATGGAGTTTATTATCAAAAACCTAAGGCAGAAATTTTAAAAAATAATTCATTCCTAAATTGTTTTTGTATAAAAAAATATAAATATAATTTTTCTTCCATAATACCAAGCTTTTTTATTATAATCAACGCTCTACCTTTAAATAACCAGTTAAAATGAATATGTGGATATTTTTTGTTGGTGCTCCCGCATTGGCATGTCTTTATTTCTCCCCTGAAGTGTGTTAAAACGTCAGTAAATGTCAATAAAACTTTTGTCGCCTCAAAGGCCTGTTTAAATACTGGGTTAACTGTTCGAAAGTTAAAGGAAACCGATGGTAAAAGAGTTCTTGGCACAGTTTTTGGGTTTACCTTAAGTGATTTTGAGGCAAAAACAGTGTCATTGAACTTGTGGCAGTGTCACGTAAACTTGACATAATATTTACACAATTACCACGAATCTCCATTTTCGAATTAATCAGCAGCAAAGCCGAACAAAAAAGTAACAAAAGGCCAGAAGAAGAAAACAAAAAACAAACAAATTAAAACTAAATCTGTTGCATAAGACATCAATACTCAAATACTCAACCTTTCTACTGCTCAGTGGATGCGCAATCCGAGACGGAATCTTTTTCGGGGCCTTATAAGAGCCAGCAAAAAGCGAGAGACAAAAGCAGCGTTAATAAAATTAACTTGCTAATGAAGCGATGATCACACCGCATCATTTCTATGGGCCACATACATAGTATACTATATACTATATATATTGACTTAAATCATTTCATAGCTGAAATCAAGAAATACAACTTATGGAAATCGACTAGCAGCATTTTTGTATGCAGAAACAATTTTGTCGCGCGTGTTTCGGCCAAAAACAACCAGCAGCAGCAGAATGGGAAAACGAGTTTCGAGTTTCTTGGCGTTCCACTATGCAAATTAAACACTAAATACTAAAGATATACACATGTCTGCATGTCGCTTTGGATATTTTGTAATATCTCGATGAAAACGAAAGTAAAGCCACCGCCGCTTGACTTTGAAAGCCCCAGAAAGACCCTTCCAGCTGCCCTTGTTGTTGGTTTGTCGCCGGTTTCACTTTTATTCCGCCATGTACATTGTACACACATCTCCACCGAGTTGTTAACTCTATCGAATTAAAATAAATTCGCCGCCACTGCCGTTGTGCCGAAAGAAAGTGAAAGAAATGTACGAGTTTGTACATTGTACATTGTACATGTGCACATGGCAAAGTTGCGGCACAAGTTTTGCGCTCGAAATCATAACAATAATGGCAACAGGTTGGCTGACTTTAACAGTCCCACTTCTATAGAGCTCGAAAGAGACAAGCCAAGTTTTCTGAAAATGCAACGAAACTTAATTAAAATAGATTTTTTGTATTATCACTTACATGTTATTTGATATATTTGGGATATTTGAAATATCCATATCATGTCTACAGGTGGTTCATTTCGGTTGATCCCAGATAACTGCAAGAAATTAAAATAAATTTAATTTTGTATATACAAATGTTTCTTAGGAAACATTTATTTGAATGTTTGAAGTTCAAGTAAAACTGTAAAGGTTCTCAATCTTCTTTAAACTAATATTAAGAATTTAAGAAATTCTTATAAATTCCATTTCTTTTAAATTTTCTCAGTTCATCTTACACAAGAGCGACTGTATTTGAAATCAGATTTTGAGTCTTGTCCGAAACTGCGCACTTTTTTCGAATTGTCACACAGCCGTTACTTTTTCCAACTGCCCGAACGTGACGCATTTCTTTGGCTTTATTTCAATGAATAAATCTCTTAGCCAGATGCAGACTCTGTGGAAATAATTGCTAGTTTACATACTCATGTAAATTGGCATTTTCTGTGCGCCGTAATGATGGGAAACATGCCAATGACATTGTTGTCCAACTCGAGTCGAACATTATGGCAGTGGAAAGCAGCGAATTTACATAGACAATGTGCGATTTTTGTGGCCTGAAAAGAAAAGCGCAGATTTTGCCAATGGCCAATTAAAATACATTCGCATTTCCACACGGCGCTGCTCAACATTATTTCCGCTCAGGTTAACTGCACTCGACTTCGAAACGAGTTTTTTGTTTTTCGTTATTTTTGGCGTCTGGTAAACCAAAACAAAAAACAGGTGCAACAACCGCCTGGCCAGCGGCTTTTTATATAATGGTCAGCTTTAAAAAAGAGCAATTTCTCAAATAGTTAATAGGCATTGCTAACATACTTTGGCCAGTCCACTGGTTTGCGATTTTGCGACAATTTTTCTGAGATCAAGTTCCTTGCGGAGCCGCCTGCGAATCCACTCCAATGTGCTGTTGAACTCCATTGATATTATTTAAACTTTAACTGGGAATTAAAAACAGTGCCCTAAACCTAACCTCAAAAACTTGTTTAATAAACTTACTTCCGGTTTCCTGAACTATAAAAACAGTTGGCAGTTCTTATTCTTAGAGATGGTACGATTCACAAAATGCTTTTAAAACGGGGACATCGTGTACTCGATCAAGAATAACAATCGATATGCCAAAGAACGTTAAAAGTATTTAATTCTTTAAAGCTTAAACAAATAAGTGTCTATTCTTACTCGTTTCAATATAGTCTAATACATATTCTAAATGCCTATTTATTAAAATATTCTACGATTTTCCAAAAGAAAATAATCAATGGAGATTGACCTTATATCTTCTCTAAATTAATCGAATGATTTTAATCATTTTGCGACCTCTAACGACTTTTTCGCGTGCTGAATTCTTTCTTTTCTCCAACTGATTTCCAACGGACAACATGCCACCAATAAGGAGTCGCCGCATTAAGCAAGAACCAAAGTCCTTGGACTCGGGTGGAATAGAGGACTGCCGGGTTGAAAAAATTATTGCAAAAGGATATGTGTCTTTCTCGGTCTGTTACCTGGTTAAATGGTTGGACTATCCGATTGAGAACGCAACTTGGATACCTCTGAAGCATCTGGGACCTTATTTGAAGTTTGTGGCCGATTTCGAAGAGGAGCTATACAAAGGGGCAGAAATTCGATAATGTCGGATAAACCTTCTTTCTAATATGTAAAAATAAAAACAAGTTTAAATTATACAGTTTGAATTTTTCTTAATAAATGTCACTTTCCTCGTTTAATGTGGCTCAAGTTGGCAGCGCTATCTTAGTTGTCATTTTTATTTGGTCGAGTGTTTACGCAAAAATCATGTCCAGCGGCGATGGATCCAAGAAAGCCAGTTCGGATGGCAAAGATACGTGCAAGACCTATGTGGTGGAGAAGTTTATGGGAAAGCGCTTTATATACACAAACGGGAGATATCGCCCCCAGTATCTGGCCAAATGGGAAGATTTCCCATTGGAAGAGTCCACGTGGGAACCTTTAGAAAACTTGGGCGATTGTATGGGGCTGATTGCGGATTTCGAGGCGGATCTCTTCCGGCGAGACCAAGAAAAAAAGAAGCCCAAATAAAAATGGTACCAAAGGGTCCCGAACATAAAAGTAAAGTTTGTTAAGCATAAATAAAAGCTAAATGCTTGTGTACACCAGCTTAAAATTGCAAAGTTTTGTTATATTAAAAAAACTCGCGGATGCAGGGCTGGAAAAACACGTAGCCTAGGAAAGCCAGGGCTGTCAACGTTTGCTTGAAATTAATTCGGTATAATTTTGTAATAGTGAGTTCCGCTGCTAAAATACTTGTTAAAATCACAAACAAATTTAATTTAGCTACTTATTAAATAGTTTTCCCTTACCTGAACTCATCGTTTTAAATCATAAGTACCTAGAAAATAAAAAATACCGCAAGCTTTGCCATCCCTAGTGGTATTACCAGTAAGTTGGCAGCACCGCCGAGGTTATTTGTTTTGGCCAATTGGCTTTTTCGCTCTTTTCTTCGGCGTCCTTCAATCGAGCAAGATGTCTTTGAGCAAGATGTCTCGCAGGGGAGGAACCAATCATCGCCAGGTCGCCAATCCCATCCCGATCAATGATCCCGTGCAGGAGTTTGTGGTGGAGAAGATCATCGGTAAGCGCTTCGTGCAGGGGTGGCCCCAGGTGCTGGTGAAATGGGTGGGCTTCCCGGACGAGGACAACTCCTGGGAGCCGATGGAGAACGTCGGCAACGCCATGCTACTCCTCTGCGCCTTCGAGGCGGAGCGCTACAGGCTGAAGCACAGCGCCCTGACGGCCCTCGAGCACGACCTGACCCCCAGTCCCAGCACCAGCGGTGTTTCGCTGACCGAACAGAGTCCCCAGGAATCCCGGAGATCCAAGAAGCACTCCAGATCGAAGAAGGAAAACCATTCACCAGCTGAAGAACCAAACAGGAACCAGAAGGGAAAGGTGAAAGTGGGCAAACCGGCTGGTCCGAAACATAATATTAAAACTGCTCCCAAAACTCCTACGGAACTGCCACGTTCCAGCCATTCTGGCAATGGTTTTAAGGAGATTGGGAAGTCCCCACCATCAACAAGTAAAACACACAAGCTCCACCGCCCCTTTAGAGCTCTGAACTTGAGCGAGTCCAGTGAAGAGGAGACACTGGGTGCGAAACAACAAGTCAAACCCAAGTCACCGAAACCTCGCCGAATTCTGGACTTCCTCCAGGAGAACGAACCACCGATGGCCCCTCCAAGGACGCCATATGCTGCGCCGCAGCATCGCAAAGAAAGCGAAAAGCTTCAAATGGCGAGCCAGCTATCCGATTCGGATAGCTCCTCCTCCAGCTCTTCGTCGTCATCCAGCAGCTCGTGCTCGTCAGGATCCTCGAGCAGCTCATCGACTTTGACTGAAGACCTCGAAGGGGTCAAAGAGATAAGTTCGCTGGACAGAATTCGAAAAGAGGCTCGCAAATGGGAGGCCGACAAGCGCGAGGCCAAATTTGGCGGTCTGATGCCAAACAGCACTAGTCCCAAGTATAAGATGACCCAGCCAAAGCCCGAAATGACTAGCCAACAGAATGTGGCAATCAGTTTGCTGTCATCCGACGAAGATCCGGTCGATTCAGAGCTCCAGCGCGTAAGAAATGTACATTTTTATAGAGAAAATCAAACCAAAGCTAATGGAATCAGTCAATAATAAGAATAGAAGCCTTGGATTTATTAGAAGTTCTAGTATAGTCTTAGTTGTTCCTTTAGCAATGGTTTGATCTTCTCGAACATAAATGCAAGTCCTCTAAGAAGATCAATTTAACCTACACAGATACACGGCAATGTTGCCCAGAAGCAGAACAACTGGAACTTCCCCGAACCACAAACGAAGCCGCTAGAAAAGCCAACGAAACCCAAACAGGAGTCGAAGCGGCACAACAGCCGTACAGCCGTAAGCAAGGAGTTGAGCATGCTTCTCGCAGACCAACGGGAGTGGATTCCGCCACCCAAGAAAGACATAAAGACGGAACCGACGGAAGCATCACCGGAGCAGCAGCTACAAGCTTGGAAAAGCAATCGGGAATGGAGGATGCAGGAGCGCAAGAAACCCTACGGTTTTGATCGCGGCTTGGAGCTGGATAAGGTGCACCACTGCTACCAGGTGCGCAACCATCTCTTCATGTTTGTCACCTGGAAGGGCTGCCAGGCTGTGGACGCAGTGCTCATGGAAGACCTCAAGAAATCACACCCGATGAAAGTAATAGAATACTTCGAGAGCCTGAAGATCGGCGTTCGCAAGTAAAGATGTCTAGTACCTGGTGAGTTGTGTTGGCCCTGTGCCCATAACCTTAAACGCAAGCTTCCGCTCCCGACCAGCTTCAGTTTCTTCTTCATAACTTTACAGTTCGACGCTCGCAATATTCGAGCCATGAGCCATGAAAACTTCACGTTGCCTTCGGGTCAAGATAAATGCCATCGAAAAAAAAGAGAAACATAAACGAAAACGAGGTACCATCATCCGGTCGGCGGATCAACTTGTTCGATTCGTTTCCCTGTACATTGCACCTGTACATCTTTGTATACCTCTTCTCTTCTTGCCACAAACCATTGATAACTCCAATGTTGGCCATATGACAAATTGCTTGCCTATATCGTGGCATCCTCGTAGATTTACGACCTTAACTTCATGGATTTATGAGTGGTTCTTGGGCGGAAAAGTAAGATGTCTTTTTAGGGATAGGGACTACTGGCTTAGCGTCTATTATTGGCACACGTGTATCCCGAACACACTTATTGCCTTCTTTTCTTTCCGCTATTGTAGATTTCTCGCTCGAGATCAGCTAGCGAAAATTATGAGGCTCCAGACTCTGGGTTTTCGGTTTCCATTTGGCTTATCTGTCGCATCTGTTGACAGCTGCTGCTTCGCTTTGAACTCGGCGGCGGCTTGGCAACAACATGTTCGTCTGGATAGACCGGGCCAACTCCCTCGCAAAAGTGGTGGGCGTTTAAGAGGCTCCGCGGTTCATTCAACCCGAGCGGAGTCGCACAATGAAGTCACCAAGCCAAATTGTGATTCTGTACCGATGCAGTATGTTGCCTTTATGGCGTATCTCACAGCTTTAACCTTCAATCAGGCATAAGTACTTACTTACTTGTACTATACTGTACGCAGGCCAAAGCAACTAAGGCGACACGCACACCTGGAGAGGCGGACACACCTTTGTGGGGCACACGCTAGCGCCACCAACTGGACTCGCCAGCTAATGGACTAATGCGTCCATTTAGAGCTGTCTTGTGCAATTTCAATGTCATTTGTAAGCTTTTTAAGGCTTGCTGGCGCACTTCTCAGTCATTTTCACAGTTGGATTTCATCGCAGATCATAGTTTAGTTCCACGGAGTTATGGTTAGCTTTGCATGCATATAAAAATCTGGTTTTACGGCTACTAAAATTAGTTGTTAGGTGTCTAAAATTCGTTTTATTGTGTCTTAAACGACTTACAGCCAATTTACATTTTTTAATTTAATTTAAAGTGTTTATGGTTGAGGTCAAGAGTGCAAGAAAAAAAATATAAAAGGGCCGTAAGTGGAAAAATGTCTCATAACTAAGATGATATAAATATTTAAAGAAAGGCCATTTATTCTGTTAGTCGGATATTAATTTATTCACATGATTAAATGTAGCTCTACCGCAAAGGCGTGTTTCTACTCCGCTGTTTGCTCCATTGCTCTATTATTATTTTCCATTATTGCCGTGCAATTTACTCATTTTTACCTTCCTGATTTCTGGGTTGCCTTCGACTTTGGCGTTCATTGATTTATGTGTTTTTGAATTAGCTGTCCATGGCATTTGCTATAATTTCTGTAGCTGGAACATGTTTTTCCACCCATTGTGGTCGTGCATACACATATGTTAAAGATTTCGAGGAGTGGTTGATGTAAGGTAAATTGTGGAAAAGGGAAATTCAAGTCTCACCAACCTAAAAACAAATTTTCCATTCATTAATTGGCCCACCATAAAATAGTTAAATTGCCTATCAAATGTCAAAGCATCGAAAGCAATTTTAATTTCCATCGCTCAAGACAGCCGAAAAATGTTTAATTTCCTGATTATGAAATTTGTTGGTTGCAACCATATTTCTTTATCAGGCAAAATTTGCATTTAATTTCTGCCGCCACAACAACAATGTTGGCTTCTCATATGTGATAATTTTCTCGCTCGTTTGACCATTTTTGGCTTGAGATGTAATTACGCCCAAGGCAGCAGCAACAAGTAACCAGCAGCAACGGCAACAGGCAACCTCATTTATGACGCTTTGCATATGGTGAACAACAAATCAGAAAGAAACAAAATGTGTTTTCTATGTTGGTGGTAGTTGGTTGTTGTAATGCAATTTGTTTAACGCTTCGTTTATTACCAAAAACAGCAACGAACGCATTTCTTGGTGTTGGCTTGGTGTTGTGGCCCATGTTGCTTTTGTTGATGTTGTTTTGTGGTCGACTGGGGCGAGCAGCAACATTCGATGGGTCGCGTAGGTTGTGAGGGGCAGCAAACAGATACAATAATTTAATATGCAGTCATATATGCAGAGGACCCTCTCTCCTTCTTTCCCTCAGCCTCCAAAATTTTCACTGCAATTTTCCCCTGCTGCATCCAATGTCCAAGTTGGTTTTTCTTTTGCTGTTTGGTTTGCAAAAGAGTGGGTGTGTTTTCCACTATTTTCCACTGGCTTATTTATGATTTTGTTTGACAGTTTAATTCACATCTGCTTGTTTGGTGGCACGAGTCACCATTTGCAGCCGCCGTTTGGCATCTCTTGTGTGTGCTTTGTGCCTCCGGGTTAGGGGTTATTGGAACAGCAATTATATGTAGTTAAGGTGGCCCATTTGTTACAGCAACAACAGCTGCCGGAGATGCGGTTAGATTGCCCAACGTGGCTTAACCCGATGTGGCGCTATATTGGATAAAAAAATGGGTTGGCTCCATTACAAGAGCTGATTGATTGTTGATGGATGCTTATCATGTGGTTCAGCTAATCTTTAACGGAGTGATACAAAAGTTATTAGGTTTATAAATTAGGTAATACTAGATTAGAGAAGCTAACAACTTCTTTATCTTATAATCATTTAAGTTATTTTAATATTACAGTTAAAAAGGGAGTAGTTTCCCATTTTCCACCACCTTAAATGACCTCTGTAAACTAGTTCAGTCTTAAACTTTTCCTTACCCAAGTGCATCCCAGTCTTCAACGACCTTGCTTTGTTTCTTTCAAGCTTTTATCTCTTTCGCTTTTATGTGTTGACCACGCCCCAAAGAACCTGACCCAGCGGGTCTTCTCTTGATGTTAATTTCACGCCCGTTAAAATAATTAAATTTGCCTTTGTTTACTTTTTTACGACTGCTCTTATTTTCGTTTGTAGTGCAACATTCAAATTAGTTTATGTAGCAATATAAAATGTGTTTCTCATGTTTGGTTTTCTTTTGTTTCGTTTCAGGTATATACAACTTTTTGGACAGAAGATGGAATTCTCACCGCAAATCATAATCAAAGCCAAGTTCAAGGTTATCTCGTCATAATCATAACGAAGTCCAACGGATCCATAATATAATCATATTCTTTTTTTTTGTTTTTCAACTTTATTATTAGTTTTAGGCACTGAAGCTAGAATCAAAGTTTTGTTTCTATACCATGTTTTATGTTTTCTGTACATGTAGTAGCATGTACCAATCTACGGTTTCAATGTTAAAAGTAATCCGATATTCCAACTTATTGTCCAATAAACCATGTTTTTTCTCTTGACATCTGATACTTTGCGATGTCTTTGGCCTGCGATAAAGGAATTTAATCCCGAAGGTCGGATCACTTTTTGTCCGCGATTCACTTAAATAAATAGTTTCATACTATAAGCCATCATATCTTTTTCTAACCACACCGAAGTGAGCTTCCACTGAATTGGTTAAAGCACTTGGCTTAAATGTCACTGGGTGGTGAGCCAAAATCGAACTTTAGCCAACCCGCGCCGAAGTTGTTGACATTTTTGCTTGACTTTTTGAATTATTTCCAGCATCTCGCCCCACAAACCGCTGCAATTATCTGGCATTGGTATTTGTATTTCTTTTGTTGCTCTTTTCGGGGTGTGTTCTGAGCGAAGGAGAGACTCAAGTCGACTCGACTCCATTGATAAAAATGAGTTTTGTATGTTAATTTGGCAAGCTCCACTGCATTCTTCAAATTGAGGTGGAATGTGGATTGTGGTTGGAAAGTGGGCGCTATAGTGGTGGGTGGAAAAGTATTGAGTCACTTCATTGTCGAGAATTTTAATGGTATTTAAAAGCGCAGTTGCACAATATACATATTTTATTTGTATACCCGTTACTCGAAGAAAAAAGGATATATTGTATTCGTGGGAAAGTTTGCAAAAGGTAGAAGGAAGACATTTTTCGCTAGATGTCGCCACTTTAGGCGACTGCTGGCATATCTCCCTCTCTCTCGCATTTATTTAGATGAGTAACTCGACTATCGTGATTCTTTTTATATACGATCAAAGAATCAAAAATCACTTCCTATATAGTCTACACTCAATTTCCTCATCAATGTTTTGCCCCTTTTTTGATTGCTCTAATGCTCTTTCTCCCCGCAGTGTTTGTAACACTGCACAATTTCTCATTAATCACCGACTTCCAGAGCTTCGGTTTTGTTTAGTTTGTTTTTTTCGCTTTTTCATATGGGTTAGCTACACCTACGATTTCCGCACTTGTACAAAAATGCGTCTACCCTTTTGTATTTGTTGTGCTGTTGCTTTGCCAAGCCAAAGCACACAGAGCCAAATGTTTGAGTCATGAGTCAGAGTCAGAGAGCCAACAGCGAAAAGTAAGGCAAGACTTCATCAAGCCCCTGTCGATATGCCACGCCCCCTTGGAAGTGCATTGAACGCATTTACTTCTCGCTGCTTTGCCTCGCACTCGATTTTCCATGCACATTTTCGCTTTTCTTTTAAATTGGGATCTCTGGCTTTGGCTTTTCCTCGACTCTGTTTTCCCTGCCTTTGCATTCGCTTCATTTTCGCTTAGTTTCGTTCGTTTCACTTTCGCGTCACTAACTTGTTGCAACTGTGCCAGTCGAGTTTTTAGTTTTATGGCTTCCAACTCGGTCTGGTCAGGTCTGTCCCGATGTCCGAGGTTCAGGTGGTGGTCACTTTGGTGTCGGAGGAGCCGTAAAACAAAAGGCACTCGAGCAGAACTACCCGCTAAATCTGACAATTTGGCAGGCGGTCGCTGAAATTTATGAATTTAATTTGGATTTCGTTTTTGTGTTTGCCAAAAAGAAAGCGTTGACACTAAACGGAAGTGTTCGCCAAAGGGGCGAAAGTTGAGCTGCAAATTGAGTGATTAGCAAGGCAAAGGGGGAGATAGCTTAAAATGTGTTATGCAACCGAAAACAATGCGATCAATAAACCAGCCAGCTGGCATTTGTGTTCCAATCTCGGGTTTCCCACATGTGCTATGCACCCCGAACATATCACTCAATTAACCCAGTCTAATAACCAATCAAACGCCACTCTGACCCCGCATAATAGCCCAGTGATTCATGCCGCCCAGTGACCCAAAAGTTGAGCCAGACACCCGCGTACAAGATATACACACGATACTGCACAGCCATGGCCACTTGAATGGGACAACCCGCTGGGTTGGCTGGTTTGACTGAAGTTTATATATGAAAATGCCGTATGTTTGGCTAATGGTTTCTGGCCCAGTGACACAACAAGCGCCAATATTTTGAGCCAAAGAAATAAACCAGCTCAAATAGCAGGCCAGGTGTGTGTGTCCATTCTGAAGTGAACTTTGCGCCCTGCCCAGAAAAACAGAAAAACCAAAAAAATCGAAGCCAATGGAGTGTGGCTAAATGGGCCTAAACGTTCTCTTAGCCGTCAGGCATTTCCGTTTTCTGTGTGTTGCAAAGTGCAAAATTAAACTCCGTCCGCAGTTCGCCTCAATTTGCAGTCATTAAACCTTTTCTGTATACCCCAAATGGCAAAAAAGAGAAAGAGCAATAATATTTGGTAGGCGATTTATGCGGTTTGCCATTACGTCGGCCTGCGATTTTGTCATTTTTCTGCTGTTAAATGAGCGTTCGAAGGGGGAAGTCAATGGGGTTAAGCTGCCCATTAACCCATTTTGGTTAGGGAAATATTTGTTGAAGGCCGGATATGCGAAAGATTATAGATGATTAACTTTTGTTATTAATTATTAATTTGTAGGCTATTTTTGTGGCTCATAAATTGGCTTAGGTAAAATTATAGCCTTATTAGGACTCTTCAATTTAAAAATACAATGTACTATCGGCTATCTGCCCGCATAGGCATTTAAGTTTATGTGCCATTCACGGATGTTCGGCAAGGAAAACAAGTTTGTGTCTTAAGTCATTCGTTTCCTTTGTGGCCTTTTGTAACTGGAAATTATGGGCCAGCTACCGAGGCAGCAACAATAACAACAACAAAGCGGGGGAAACCTGTAATAAAAATATGCAGTTATCCTTGGAGATTACGGTTCATCAGGCAGCCCTATAAATATATATGTTTCTTTAGGGAATGAAGAGGAGTTCGCGACTTCAGCTGAATGCTCGGTGGCAGCGCGGCCTTTAAGGCAGGAAATGATGCCCAAAAGCAGTAACAACATCAAAAGCTGGCAATTTGGCTGCAACAACAAACAAACCGAACACTCGGGGAAAATATTTTCTGAATTTCAAGATTATCATCTTTTATTTTGTCTTTTTCCTTGCAGTAAGAAAAAATGTTGTGAGAAATATTAAAAGTAAACAAGAAAGGAAGCTACCTTCGGCCAGCCGAAGCTTATATACCCTTGTAGATAAAAGAATACTCACTCGGTGCAGTTCCAGGGATTCCAGATTCAGCGTTTCGATTTATTTCAATTTTGTTTTTAAGTAGTCAAGAATCAAAACGCCTACTTCCTACAAAGTTACAATGAATTTTCTTATATTTGTTTGGGAGCCTTAAGATATAGTGGTCCGATCCGGCTGGCTCCGACATATGTACTACCTGCAATAGAAAGAAGACCTTCGGGAAAGTTTCATCGCGATAGCTTTAAAACTGAGAGACTAGTTCGCATAGAAACGGACAGACGGACAGACGGACATGGCTAGATAGACTCGGCTATTGGTGCTGATCAAGAATATAAAGATGGGTATAAGGGTATAAAGATGTAAATTCTTTAAAGTGGGAATTTTATAACAAAATAAATAAATAAACTTTCAACAGATCAAAAGATTTTAACAGAAAATAACAGTTTGAATAAAACAACGAAAATGTTTTAAAAATCGTACAAATATTTTTCTTCCATTTAAGCGTCGTTTATTTTATTTGCTCTTGTTTTGAAGATAAATATGAGAGTTTTTCTTTGAGTGTAAATGCAAAGGAAGAAGAAGCGGTCTCTTAACGAGCGGCATGCATAAAATATGCCCTTTGTGCTGCAGACATTGCTGATCGCCTGATTGCAGACCGTTCGCGGACTCTGCGTTTTTAATAAAAATGTCAAACGATGAGTGGATGGAAAAAGGCAACGGGGGTAACAATGAATTGGCAATTTGCAAGGCGGCTCCTTCGCTAAGTAATCCCCACATTAAGGCATCGTATTTGGGATTCAGATTGGGATTTCTGCGCGTTGGCGTCGCCAAAACTCTTTAAAAGCCATTCAACTCTTGATAACTCTTGATTGACACGGTGGCTGGTAACCTGACGGACCCATCTCAAGTGATATTTGCTTTAATAACACTCGAGGAACTGCAGGGCTTTAATGGTTCATTGAACTTCTTCGTCGATGGAAGCCAATATTCTTGGCCACTTGTATGTGTAGCTCCCAGCTCTTGGGCACCCACTGAGCTTTGAGGGCGTTCGATATTTATATATGGCTTCTATGATACCTGGACACGCCCAATTTGAAGTGGCAACCGGGACCAAATGATGCCTATAGTTCCTCAAAAAGGCAGAAAAAGAAACGGAATATGCTAATGCGGAGGCAGAACAAAAGCAAAGCGAAGCTCGGGAGAGGAAACCTTGTTGTTCACACAATAAATCACGACAACCAGAACGAACAGCTATAGCTATCTGACTCTATATATATAGCCATTGTAATTACAACAACAATAGACAGCTGGCCGACAAAACTAAGCCAAGATTGTTGACCATTTTGTCGTTGAAGCGTGCGGCAAAATGTTGTGTTTTCATGTCTGGCTTTTGTTTGTTTGGCCATTCTTCTGTATATTCGCCAGCCAGCAAAAAGACAAAATTATGCGGAAAATTACAATGCATAGAAATTTGTGCCGTTTGAGAGACAGATCTAATCGTGAATTATGTATTTCTGGGTGTAGGCTAAGGTTACATAATCATTTTGATATTGTGTGTGCTTTAGAGAGAGTTTATGGATGGCATTCAGAGGTTTGTCAAAGCAAGGAAATTACCACAAATTGATTTGATATTGGCCTTCCTTTAAAGACTCTTCAAGATTAAATACAGTTACACTATCGATATAATCGATTATTAGAGGTTTTAATAGATCGATTTCCTTTCTCATAAGTGTTATGATTCACGCTTTAATTTTCCATTATTATATCCTTGTAGAGGGTATTATAATTTCAGTCAGATGTTTGCAACGCAGTGAAGGAGACGTTTCCGACCACATAAAGTATATATATTCTTAATCAGCACCAATAGCCGAGTCCATCTAGCCATGTCCGTCTGTCCGTCTGTCCGTTTCTATGCGAACTAGTCCCTCAGTTTTAAAGCTATCGCGGTGAAACTTTCCCAAAAGTCTTCTTTAGTACATATGTCGGAGCGAGCCGGATCGGACCACTATATCTTAAGGCTCCCATAGGAATATTCAAACAAATATAA